GAGTCCTCTGCATTCCAGGGTGGCAAAACAAGTGTGATGCGTGGGCCCACTGAAGCACTTCTGCCCTCAATGCTGGCAGGATGTGAAGACAATCAGTTGGGCCTTCGGTGGTGGCTCTCACCCTCTCCTCCACCTCCGAGGTAAGTGATGCCAGAATGCACGGTGCTGGGAGGATGGTGTCAGTGGCAGCTGTCTCCTCCTCCCACTGAAACTGGCGAGACAGGGCATCTGGTTTGGAGTTGCGGGATCCCGGCCTGTAGGAGAGGGTGAAGTCGAACCGGGTGAAGAAGAGGGCCCACCGTGCTTGGCGTGAATTGAGTCTCTTGGCGGACTGTATGTATTCAGGATTCTTGTGGTCAGTCCATACAAGAAACGGCTGTCTGGCCCCCTCCAACCAGTGTCGCCACTCCTCCAGCGCCAGCTTCATGGCCAGTAGTTCCCTGTTGCCGATGTCGTAATTTCTCTCCCCAGGAGAAAGGCGCCAGGAGAAGAAAGCACAGGGTTGGAGTTTCTGGTTGCTGGCCGCCCGTTGGGATAGGACTGCCCCCAACCCTATGTCGGAGGCGTCCACCTCAATTATGAACTGCCATTCTGGGTCAGGGACTTGGAGGATGGGAGCTGAAGAGAAGCGGTCCTTGAGGGTCTGGAAGGCCCCTTCAGCTGACAGAGATCACCAGTAGGGAACCTCAGAGGACGTCAGGACAGTGAGCGGGGCCGCGATGGAGCCGTAATTACGGATGAAATGTCTGTAGAAGTTGGCAAAACCTAAGAAGCACTGTTGTTGCTTGCGGTTTCCTGGGACTGGCCAGGCCGTTACATCTTCCACCTTGGCTGAATCCATCTGTAGACTTCCCTGGCCCACGATGAACCCAAGGAAGGGCACAGATGAGGCGTGGAACTCACACTTCTCTGCTCTAACATAAAGCGAGTTTTCCAGGAGGCGCTGCAAGACAGTCTGAACATGATGAACATGTTCATTCAGGGACCTGGAGAAGATTAGGATGTCATCCAGGTAAACAAACACATATTTGTTAATCGTGTCCTGGAGGACATCATTAACCAGCGTCTGGAAGACCACCAGGGCGTTGGTTAGGCCGAAGGGCATCACCAGATATTCATAATGTCCTGTGGGGGCGTTGAAGGCGGTCTTCCATTCATCCCCCTCTCTGATGCGAACCAGGTGATAAGCATTGCGGAGGTCGAGCTTGATGAACACTGTGGCCCCCTGGAGTACTTCGAAGGCTGTAGAGATCAGGGGTAGAGGATACCGGTTCTTGATGGTGATTTCGTTGAGCCCCCGGAAGTCTATGCAGGGTCGTAGCGTCTTATCCTTTTTCCTCCACAAAGAAAAAAACAGCCCCTGCAGGAGATGAAAAGGGGCGAATGAGCCCAGCTGCCAGACAGTCATTGATGTAAGCCTCCATGGCTTCTCTTTCAAGGCCTGACAGAGAGTACAGGCGGCCCCTGGGAGGAGTGGTGCCGGGCTTTAGGTCTATGGCACAGTCATAGGGTCGATGCGGGGGCAGAGAGGTGGCCTTGACCTTGCAGAATACCTCTTTAAAGTCATGGTATTCTGTGGGAACTCCGGAAAGGTTGGAAGAGGAACTGGTCTGTGAGTTCGCTGGAGGGGTGAAAGCATCCTTCAGGCACACCCGGTGGCACTGGTGGCTCCAGCCCAAGATGACCCCTGTGGCCCAGTCTATGTGGGGGTTATGGCAGCAGAGCCATGGGTACCCCAAAATCATGGGGTGTTCAGGTGACGGAAGGAGGTGAAACCGGATGGTGTCATGATGATTGCCTGAGAACAGCATGTGGATAGGCGAGGTCTGATGTGTGACTGTTCCCAGCAGGTGGCCATCCAGAGCAGTGGCAGGGATTGGGCAGGAGCGTGGACTCATCTCAATCCCAAACTGCTTTGCCAGACCCTCGTCCATGATGTTAGTCTCAGCCCCTGAGTCGATGAAAGTGGCCAGGGTGTGTGAGCCACCAGGGAGAACCAATTTCACATGGGTCAGAGGGCGACGTCGAGAGCAAGATTTGGCATAGCTGCGACTCACCAGGACTTCCTCCCTCACTGATGAGTCCCCCCTTTTACTGGGCAGCGGGAGACGAAGTGACCTGCCCCACCACAGTACATGCAGAGGTTCCCCTTGCGGCGGCGTTCTCGTTCCTCGGGGGAAAGTTAGGTACTGCCCAGCTGCATGGTTTCGGGTTCCCCTGGATCTGCCTGTGCTATGAAGTGGGCGGAGCTGACGACAGGCGAAGGTCCCCGTTGACGTACTGGAGGGTGGCGACGAGTGGCTGGGTGTCTTCTCTCCCTCTGTCGGTCTCGGACGCGTTGATCCACTCTGGTGGCAAGCTCAATGAGACCATCCAGCGTGGATGGCAGGGGGTAGGAGACCAGCTCGTCTTTTATATAATCTGCAAGACCATGCAGATATGCGTCACAGAGAGCAGGCGCATTCCAGTCGCTCCGTCAAGCCATGGTCCGAAAGTCAATGGAGAAGTCTGCCACAGTCTGATCTCCCTGGTGCATGGAGAGCAGCGTCCTGACTGGATGAACTTAAACCGAACACCTTGTGTAGCTCATCAGCGAAGGCTTGGAATGATGCACAGGCCGCGGTCTGCTTCTCCCACTCTGCAGTTCCCCAAAACAGAGCTCTGCCTGTCAAATTGCTGATGACATACGCCACCTTAGCACCTGTGGCGAATGTGTAGGGTTGCAGACTGAAGATGATGGAGCAGGAGGTTAAGAATGGACCACAGAGCTCAGGGTTCCCATTGTAGCGCTCCGGCGTCCCCACTCGCAGCTCGGAGATCATCCGGGGCAGGACTGGAGGTGGCTGGGGAGGATCTGGTGCTGGAGCGGGTGGTGCTGGAGCAGGTGTGGCGGCAGAGGACAGCGCAGCGGTCAGTTGCTGCACCTGGGCTGTGAGAGCGGTGAGGGCTTGAGCTTGAGCCTCCGTGGCTTGCTGGAATTGAGCCGCCATCTCCACCATTCTCAGCTCATGCTGTGTGAGGACAGTCTCGATCCTCTCAAACCAGTTCTGTGGGTGTGCTGGGTCCATGACTGGCCAGATTGTACTGTTAGCGGGGTGGTATGAACCCAAAAGCAGTACGTAGAATCGCAGAATCAGTTCAATCACAGCTTCTTTTATTTTCAGCACACAGTCATGTTCAGGACAGACAGCAGAGAACAGTCTGACTAGAGCACAGTTCACTGAGTCTTTAAGATGGCGGGAGAGTGATCTCTCTGGTGAGAACTTAAGACAGTCTCTGAAAGAGCAGGCTGGACGAAGGCACAGTTCAGAAGCCTGCGAGACACAGACGTGCCCGTACAGGGAACACAGTCAGACGAAGAACAGAAAACTCACTGCAGCCCAGAGATTGCGGCGGACATCCACCAGCCGGGCAGACAGAAACCAGGAGGACAAGGCAAAACTCGTGGTCAAGGACAGAAGGCTGAGGTGGTTTACCGGGATCAGACAGAGCAGGCAGGTCGGGAACAAACAGGGTTGGAACCGTAGAGTCAGGCAGGAAAACGCTGGAAAGTCTCGCATGGCAAAGAACAATCTGGCAACTGGTGAGTGTGGGACTGAGGCTTTTATGCTGGCTTGATTGCTGGGGATGGGCTGCAGGTGTGGGTGATCAGGAGAGTGAGAGAAGGTGTGGCTGATTGGCAGAGAGAGACTGAGGTGCATTCAAGAGCAGAATGTGACAGTTTCTCCTTAAATTGAAGAAACTTTTCATTGTCAGTACAGCTTGAGAAATTCAGATCCACTTGGGGTTCAGTTAAACACTACTTTGATACATTAAAGATTCTATAGATTTTTTTCTTTTGTATTTCTCTCCTGCTTTTTATGTAATAATTTTTTTGTAAACTACTTAAGTTCATAGTGCTGTAAGATGCCAGTTGGCATTTGAGGCAGTGTGATTTGTTCTGTGTTTCTGGAATTTGGAGGTAAGGACTGGATAAGGGAATGACGGAGTGGGAGAAAATGGAAAATTATGTGTACAGTGTATGATTATGTTCTTTGCATTTTTGAGAATGAAAATATTATGCGTAAGAAAAAAATAACTGTCAATCTCAGTTGTTTGAGCTACGATGTACCGTGTTTAATTTATTGAAAAAATGAACTTTGTCAACAAAAGAAATTACAACAATGTGCCCTAAAGTTTTATACAATGTAATAAGAGAGTAATGGTGTGTGATCTAATCTGCTTGCTGACAACAAAGCCTTAATAAGAGACGGTAAGACAACCTAATAAGAGTTTGCTCAGCAGGTTGTCATACTGTCTCCTATTAAAGGTGCTACAACTGTTTTGGGTGTAATGTGGTAAAATGTAAGGTATCTACTGCTTTTATTATTGTTACTGGGCAATCAATATACTTGACAGCTTTCAACTAATTTTTTAAAGTTATTCAAGAAAGTAAAGCTTTCTTTAGTGTTTTTGTTGCATGATGGTAAGGAATGAACTCAACAACTGCTGTTTCCTACTCAGTCACTTAGCATATGTCTGTGTTTCCACTGAGCAGTCATGTTCTTCACCTATATTACACAAGTCTAAAGCTTACACAACAGTAAAAACATACAATACATACTTACAACTGACTTGGGAAAAAGAATCACAGCTGGAAATATACATAATGAACACAAAGTATGAACAATGATATGTCCTATTTTTCTACAGGAGAGATGCAGTGAAAAAAGTCATTCTCAGACAGAAACATGTCAATCACAAATGGGCAGATACCATGATCGCTGACAAAAACACTCATGACACTTTACAGAGAAACAATAAGAACATAAATTGGGAATGGAAATAACGAAACACCATGCAGCTCCATCAGAAGGTGTGATCACAGAGGAGCTGTTATGTTGTTCTGGATAATTCACACAGAAGAATGACATGATGACACCAAAAGAAGACAGTTAGACAGCAGAAGAAGAGGGGTGATTGGGGGCTTTAAACATAGTAACAAAGAGGTAATAACTCACAGTGAGTTAACGCTGCAGATGGATGAGTTGCTAGAGTGCGCGTTACCTCGACTGCGTGTTAGAAAACTGCACATGCACAAAACAAAAATGGGGGAGAGGGAACATCATAGGATGAAGTCAGAGTTACAGCCAGACACCATTCAACATTTCTCTGTCTTCTCTATGTCCTTTGATCTCCCATCATGTTTTAATGCAATGGGCAGTCAATGACTGAGACTGAACCAGACAGGGAATGCCACAGAAATGGTCTGTCAGGGAAATCCTGACTGCCATAGTGACAGTTTTTTTCTTCTTCTGTTTTTATGCAAATGGTGCAAGGGAAATACCATTAAAGCCCAGATATGACAGGGTAGGGTTATACTAAAATCTATAAACAGGCTCAAGATAACTGAATTTTAGGGATATTTGTTGTGGTAGAGCAGCTCTGGATAGAATAATGTCATGGGTGATCCTGAAAAATCTTTTGCTAAATAGTCGGGGTAGTAGCAAAAACCCAGTAATGCTGTAGATCAATTGCAGCAGCAAGTAATGCCTGTGTGAGGACACAAACTATTTTGTGCTGCGACAGGCAATCATGTCAAATCCATGGATTTGGTAAAGTCTACTGATAAGGCATCCTTTAAATAAAAACCTGGTGTATAATTTTGCTGTTACTGCAAAATAGCCCACTGTGTTTCTGTGTGCAAGAGAATTTTTCGATTAATGTTCATTTTACTGGCCCCATAATGCAACTAGTCTCAGCTGTGGTTTACATGGGCCAGAACTTGCACTTACACTAAGCCACTCTGTTTTCCCATGTCTAGAGGCTCCTGCATTAGGTTTGGATGAGGTAAACAAAAAAAGACCTGGTTGAAGAATTTGCAGGACTTGAAGCTGCGTTAAAAGTTTTGGTTTTGGCTATCTCTAGGGAGCTAAATAAGCTAAAAACTCAGGACTGAAGTATTCATTTTGTAGTTTGTGTCCACCTGATGTATGCAAATTCAATTTTCACTCTACTTTTAGCTCTGTTTTGGTCTCCACAAACTCCTGAGAAAAATACCTGACTCTTCAGCTGCTAAATCACCAGCTAGTAGGTATCTGTGTCTGTGAGCTGCTTGGTGCCGAGCAGGTAGTGTACAGTGCGTTTTTCATAAGAAACTGGCTGCTTGAAACAAAAATGAGTTCAAAGAGGCATAAAAGTACCACAGAGCTGATGAGGAACACCAGAATCAGTTTTAACCAAATTTCACAATCTAAGAAAACAAAGTTGCACACCTAATTTTTACAGCATTGTAAATTATTTTGTCAGGATCTATTTGAAGTATCTTGAAATTGGGATAGATTAAACTCTGCATGTCTGTGTGTGTGTGTGTATAAGTCAGCATCTCAAGATCAAAGGTGTATATTGTTTTTGCCATGCAGCTTTACCATATAGGATAGCTACCAAGCGCTCTAAAAGTTCTCAGTAAATCTTCTTGACTCCACTCGCTGAGGATGAATACCACCATAGGATTATTTATGCCTCCAGAGCACTCTTTTGTTTTTGTTATGCAAATTCTTTGCAAAAAATAGCCATAAGATACATAAGATAACAGTTTGTTACACGATACAAAACAGTAAACAGGTATCTTTAGAAGAATGGTAAAGCAGAGATAGTTATCATGGGCCTCATTCAACAATATTCTTCTAAGTTTTCCTTAAATTTGTTCTTGACAAAGGTCCTAGGAAAAGTCTGTGTCAAATTCATGTTTGTTGTTTGTTTTTGTTTTAAAACAAAATGTTTTTAAACTGCAGAATTGTGTTCTTTTAATGATGAATGTCCTTGTCCTCTAAATTGAAAGTATGTGCCAGTTGATCCTATTTACAGTAGAATAACACTCTGCCAATCCTCATAAAAAGGCATAAGACTGGGCTGTGTGCACACAGAAATTGAAAAGAAATGCTGAGAGAATTAAGTAAAGAACACCCAAACAAATGCCAAAAAAGCAACAAAAGAAAACCCTTAAAAAAACAATAGTTTTGAAGTGGACGTACTTCTGCATGCAGTCAACGCCAAATAAGCTGAGGAACATAGTAGCATCAGTAGTGGATATAAAGTAACACTAGAAACTATGCATTTGCGTGCTATTACTGTACTTGTTTGGTGAATGCTGTATTTGGAGAAGGGAGCACAACTGAAAAAAAAAAAACATGCCAAACACAGAAGAGAGATGCTAACCCCTGGAGGGAGACAGGCTTGCATGATTAATTGTTAATTATTGGATGTTATGTTTCTCAATTAACACAACTGATGTGAATTAGTGCTGGGTTTATTTAGTTGGTAAAAGTATAAAAATAATTATCAAAAAACATTGTACATGCAGAAATATCATTGTAATTTAAATCTCATAATATTATTTAACTGCAGAATTGAAGAAAACACAATAACTAAATTGTTCTAACCTAAGAACAAATCCCAAATAAGAAAACATTGGTAAATGTCAGAATCTTTGTGAAAACTGCATAATTGGGTTTTAAGAATAAATTTTCTCTGAAGAACTGTTGGTGAATGAAGCCCAGTGTATTGTACATTGTTTTATATATCTCTACACACTCACACTCACACACACACACACACACACACACACACACACACACATTATGATATTCTGTCTGTTGATGGAAGGGTTAGAGTTGATTTTCTAAGGGACAATGCAGTAATCTACAGTCATGGTCATTTGGGAGACAGAAAACAGGGATTTGTGAAGAAAGGAATGTTTGTAGGTGAGAAGATAAACACTGACTTTAACTGGGACATTGGCTCTGTGGAGGAAAGTTAAAGCTTTTGGAAACACAGCTTGAAATAGTAAAAATGTATATATAATATCAAAGTCGAGTGTCTCATTAATCATCCACAAAAGTCTGAGTGAAAATAACCATTCATAACTATTAGAAAACCTGGTTTAAAAACAGCTCATTTTGCAGTTTAGACTACTTGCCAGGACAGAGTGGGCGTGGCAGATAACGCTCTGATTGACAGCTCCCTTGTTTTTATTGACATCCCCCTGGCTCAGCAATGGCTGCCACAACTTTAATCCAGCCGTACATGTTTGAGCCCTCTGATGATTCAGATGACGAAGCAGAAGCCCTGCCAGCTGAAAATGATTCCTTTCAGGTGGTCACTGAATGTAAGTTTCAAAATGTTTTGTGATTCATATTAATGTTAGTTCGTAGAATAGACCCTCAAAGTGGGAGAGACCGGTGCCGGCCGGCCTTCTCTCTGGCGTTGTGTAGAAGTATTTGCCCGCCTCGAATAATGTTTCCCTTCGGCTAAAATTGTGTTGTTTCCCGCAGCATCACCTCCGCGATTGGGGATATGTTTATGCGTAGCAAAGCTAACTGCTTGGGGTTGGGGTTAGGGGTGAGGAAGGGTGCACATTATGTCCCCTCCCCGCGAGCTGACACCGGCACCGAACCCTGGGGGCAAGCCCAGCCACTCACAAGCCGCCTCTTCCTGCAGCTCCACGAGCTGCAAAGGCTCGGATTGTCCGGGCTTTGGAGCCGGTCAACCTGATTAGAGTGCTACTGGGAGCCCGCAAGAGGCAGAACCTCCGCTGGGTCGCAGCCGAGCGGTTCAGCCAGTTTACGATCTTTATTTTCTAAACATCAGACTAGAAAGCTGTTTCTCAGACTCCACCAAACAATAAAATAATTTTAAGTAACACTGCTGTCCTGAGCTCTATAAAATCTGTCATCTGACATTTTCATTCGGCTGAATAAAAGTTTTAGTTTAGATAATCAAGATATTTTTCTGTCATGCCACCTTGATTATTCCAGTGAGCTTTCAGTTTTGGCTCAGACTCAAAGAGGCAGATTTAGCTGGAGCAGAAAGGTTTTGTTGCGCTGCCACTGGGGGGCGGGATGAGACAACTGACAGATGATTTATGATTGGTTTGGAATTTATTGCGTAATAAATCTCAGAGGTAACCACGGCCAAATCAAACCCAATTTCAAGAATGTACAAAAACTTAAAAGACAAATATTTCGAATTTGGATGGAAACTGATTTCTAACTGTTTTTACATGTTTAATATTATGTACATAAGACCCTAAATTACATAGTTAGAAGGCTATTGTGGATTTGGGTTTCCAGAGGCTTTAATATTATGCTTTGTTTCAACAAGAGGTTGACGTCATCAAATTCCACAATTACATCCAGGGTCCTCTGGGAAAAGTTACCAAAGAGCTAAATCAGAGACCATGCATGAAAGTAAAAATGAAAGACAATTCGGATTAAGTTGTTGATGCTTGTGTAAATACATGCAGGAAACAGGGCTTTACAGAAATTAACTATTACGTAAAAGACAACAATGTAGAGATTCTGCATATTTAGGTTATAATCACAACGTAAATGTTCTTAGCTAAAGCTATGGATTACCTCTCATGTATGCAATATCATACTGAAATACTGAAATATCTTAGGCACAGCTGTTTTGTATATCTGCCTTTCGTCTGTATCCGTTGTTCACATTTTTAGACTAGGGTTGAGGGTTTGTTCTTCAAACAAAAAAACGTCTGGATGCTGTATATTATTACTGTATAAAAAAGTAAATGTGCATCCTGCACAGTTGTATAGCAGCTAGCTGTGCACCAAAGGTGCCTTGTATCTTTTCTATTGTGGTGCGCTAAAGAAGAAAACAGAGATTTCAGGAAGCCAGAACAAACATTGGAAGAGGTTGACTTACGCTGTGATGGAAATGTTAGCGGCTGACATGGGGCTGACCTCCTTTACCTCCTTGGCCTTCTGGAGCGCAAGCTTCTTATTAATGGCCTCCTCTTGCTCCTCTTCATCCTGGACAGTATGAGCAAAAACATACATAGATAGATACATACAGTACATGCATACATACATACAGTACACTGTCGTGCCAGATCGGGCACGGATCCCCATGCCTACTACCTCTATCGCCTGTTGTAAACTGCTATAAATCCAGAATGTCACAAACTATAAAGAAATATTCTACCTTAGTGAGCTCCTGGGCATTTGCAAGGTTATCAACAGCAATGGCCAAGAAAACGTTGAGGAGTGTGTCTGTTTATTTGTGGTCTCAGGAAAAGAGCAAATGATTTATGAATACCATATCAATATTTCAAATTCCAGCTCAAATCAACCATACATTCTTTTACAGCACTATAGCGCTTCTGACAGCCACAGAGGTAAAGTGATCTGGATCAATCGAGCAGGATACAGTTTCCAAAGAGAGTGAGAACGATGAAATAAATGGAGGAGAACATTCCCCCGTGCACGCCCCCCTGTGATTCGATCCCATGGTACATGACGGCATTCCAGTCCTCCCCAGTTAGGATCTGAAGGGGAGACACAGGGCCAGGTTTCTCAGTCCAGTTCAGTGATACAAGCAGAGCAGGAGAAAAAAAGCATGATGGAGTTGACCTTTACCTGAAAGACAGTGAGGATCGCTGCGGGGAATGTGTCAAAGTTGGTTGTTGGTGTTTCATCTTCAAAATTAAACCTGCAGGGAGAAAAAGAAAAGGCAATCTTTGAATGTAATCAAGATTCAAAGCCAAAATACAGTCGAGATCACTCTTCCATCTACTGGGGGATGGGGCAGCTTACTGTCCTTGCCATTAGGCTGCTGCACATTATTTCAGCGCATATATTCCTACTACATTTGAGTCATCTAAGTGCCTAGTTTGTGTGACCTCATGGCTGATCTCTGAGTGTTTATTCTTCTCCAATGGATGAGTTGTGCTAATGCTAACATTTTGTACATCTGTCTGTCTACTTGGACCTAATTCCCCCCAACATGGGAGTTCTGTAGTTCACAGGGAATTCGGTGCGGGAGCTGTGGCAAAAATCAATGAGCAGGTATGTTTATACATAACTAATAATAGCAAGAATGTTTTTGTTTGTTGAACTGGTGCATGTAGATTGCTTTTGTTTAGCCAGGGCAGAACTATTCGACGGCGTAACGGTCAGTACTGTCGATGCCCCGGGGTGTAGCAGTAATGCCAACTGTCAAATGTTTCCAGTGGGAGAGAGGGAATTGTGGGTGTAGCATGTATGTAGCCACGTCAAACCCACCAATAGAAACTCTTCTCGCATCCATCAACGTAGGCCCTGTCCATTAAGTGCAGTTAAACCTGCAAGCAAAACTTTAACTCGCAAGCAGAGGACTGATCTGCAAGCAAAAGTTTTTTACTTTCAAGCAAAGAGGACTGATTTGCAAGCAAAACTTTTTAACTTGCAAGCAAAGAGGACTGATTTCCAAGCAAAACTTTTTAACTCGCAAGCAAAGAAGACTGATTTATAAGCAAAATGATAATATGTTTGTACTTACATACTTGATTTTTGATTACAGTTCAAGAAATATGCTCTCAAAACAGTTTTATATGATTGCAACAAAAAGACACAAAAATACCTCCATAACCCACCTGTCAACCACAAAGCCATTGGAATAAAGAGTATACCTACTTTCTCCTCTGTAACCCACCCATCTACCTATTACCCACCTCATCAACTATCACTACACTACTCAGGAGTGTATGTGGAAAGAAATAAAATAAAATAAAAATAAAAATAAAACAACAACAACAACAGTAAATCCGTGTTGAAATCAGGAGAAGAGCGAGTTATCATTACCTCTGAGCAGCCGGTGGCCGCAATGAACAGCTCACGGAGGTTGCATTGATTTACAATGTGGTGCGTTGCATTCACTCTCTATTCAGTGAAAATAGTATCGCCCGAAGGTACATTACAACATTCTCATGATGTGTTCAGTGTAATCTTGTAAAATGTAGCTTTTGGAGAGAAACTTGCATAAATCCAGCTGTTTAAAGGAGAAATTTGTTGATGCTTTCACAGCAATATAAAATAGAAATTAGACAGGGAATTACGGCATATTAAAATTATACTTATACGGCATATTAAAATTATTACTCGGTCGGAACAGTTAGTTCCGACCGAGTAATTTGATTGGACAAGAAGCATTCCGTGAGTGCTGATAAAAAGTATAACATCACTGGGACTTGTAACAGTAAAATCACTCCGCTCACAGGTGTTATAAATATAAACACAACCGTTAATTAACCAACTGTCACACTCACTACAGTGACGCAAACTGACACTAGCGTTACACCAAGAAGATGGATATTTTCCCCAAAATTACATTTGAATTAAATTATGAGTGGTCGTCAGAAGAGGACGAGGAAAAGGAAAGCCAGGACTCTTCTGTGCAGACCTCCAGGTGTGTTTGTGTAACATCAGCCGACCTCGACAAACTGGAGAGGAGCAAAAATGAAGCGAACACAGTCAGGAATTATCAATGATCATCTGATGAGGTATGAAAGCGAATTGTGACCAATATTTAAATTAAAATGCATTTGCAGAAATGCTTTTTCATTTTAAGAATGTGACTGCATTATTTGACTCATGAATAAAATTAATAATCAGTCAGCCTATTTGCATTTTCATTTTCTTCTTCAAGACTGCACATTTTATGCCATAACCAAAATAAAACAAAGAGGACATTGCTATTTTGTTTTCGTGGTCTGCCCCGCAAACAACCTGATCTCACAGAAATATGTGAAAAGACCACGACCTCTTAACACCACATTCCGTGGTGGCAGCACGTAATGGGTTGAAATTACGTGCCGGTACCACGGAAACAATGCCAATGTAAAGTCAATTAAGATCCTTTTTTGTGGTGGACACACGGATTCCCTGATTCAATAATGTCACGTCAACCTCGTTTTCCTCAATGATACCTTTAACATTCCTATATACACACAAAAACACGGAAGTGTCCTTGATAACTCAATAATATGACTGGTTAATGTCAAGGTCATAAAATAAAATAAATCTATTTTGCCAGCTTTTGATAGCGTAGGGCTTTAAGAGCATTATGCTGTGGGCGGATGGGGCACGTTCCACTACTGTTTTGTAGCTGCCGTGTGTGGGCTTCATTCCATTTCAGATTGCCGTCCGTCTGCCGTAACCGAATCCAAATGCCACTAATAAATAGATAAATAAGAAGAAAAAAATAAGGCTGAGCACGGAAGAACCAGAGAGGAAACACCATCACATGGAGGGAGGCGGCCGCGGCGGCAACCAGGCCACCCTCCACTCCACCAGGGGAGAGCGGACCCCAAGCCAGCGCCACAGAACCAGCGGCCACCAACCCCCCCCACCCCCCGGCGCACACGCTCCCACTATGGAAACACTGGAGAAATATGATAAATGACATAAAAGATTAAGATGTAGGCCTAACATAAAATAAATTCATTATTAAATAAATTAAAACATATAGCCTACAGTAGATAAAAGTACATGCTAAAAGTAAGTACAATAATAGGCTAAATAGTATCTAAGCAATAATAAAGTGTCTTAACAATAATAAATAGTATCTAAGTTATCTATTAGGCTACCATTCCACTCTGTAAATAGATTTTAAAATTTCAATATAATTTAATATTATTTTTGCTTATTTCATTATTGTTATTATTGGTTTTACTTTTTAGTAGTATTGTATTGTCTGAGGATGACTCATTTTAGTAAGTATCTACAGTAAAAAAGAAAAAAAAAACAAGCAAAGAAACAAACAAAAATCATTTTATACACTGGGCCTTCAAAGTGCTTTCTGAAACTACACCTGGCATGGCTCGTGTCCAAAAAATGAAAAAATCAGAACTTTGTCGTAGAGCTAAACCAAATACATCATTGAAAAGGTCTCAACCTGGAGAGTAACATATGTCAGTATGAAGATTCTGCATGGCTCCTGCTTTCAGCCATTCACCTTTAAACCCTGACCTCAGTGCATGTTTGAGGGCTTATAACTCAACAACTAAAGGGGGTACAGACATGGGACCAAGTGACCTCAACTATCATGTGAGTGTAGTCAACAACTGGGGGTGCTGTCAGATATGGGTAAAATATGGATAAAATTCATTTTCACCCATTTAGAAATTAGATATTTAAAATCTGATTACACAAGTGTGTTTACCATCCCCCTAAAGTCCACAGTGTACTCTCAATTCAGTACTTACAACTTCCAAATATAGGAAAAACACTTATATTTTTTAAAAACTACAATTCCCTGGGACCGCGTCATGCAGTTTGATACATATCAGCAACATAGTTGTAGTTCTTCTGATTTGCAAAGTAGGGTTCTAAATAGGGTTGTAAAAAGATATATCTACCCAATATATCTAATATCTAGTAAAGCCAAACTAGTTATTACACTCCACCTAGATGAACTATGTTAAGAAAAAGTAAAGATGTCGGCTAATTTTTGATATTTTAGCTAATACACTAGAAACTGCGATTTTAGGACGGTAGGTTTGTTTGTGGCTTGTAAAATAGGGTCGTAAAAAGATAGATCTACTGAATATATCTAATATCTAGTAAAGCCGAACTAGTAATGACACTGCACCTAGATGAACTATGTTAAGAAAAAAAGCAAGGATGTTGGCTAATTTCAGATATTTTAGATAGTACTCTAAAAACTGCGTTTTTGGGACGGTAGGTTTTTTACGGCTTGTTGTAAAATAGAGTCGTAAAAAGATACATCTACTGAATATATCAAATGTCTATTAAAGCCGAACTAGTAACGACACTGCATCTAGATGAACTATGTTAAGAAAAGGTAAGGATGATGGTTAATTTCAGATAATTTAGCTAGTAATGTAGAAACGGCATTTTTGGGACTGAATATTTGGATAGGCCTATATCAAATATCTAGTACAGCCGAACTATCATGTTATTATTATTATTATTATTATTATTATTATTGGTGGGTAATTATAACAGAGAAATATGTTTGCCGTTTTAATATCAAGAACACTTTTGTGTTTTTGTGTCTATACAGGACGTTGTTGAATCAGGGATTTCGTGTGAACACCACGACAATGGATCCTAATTGACTTTACATTGGCATTGTTTCCGTGGTACCGGCACGTAATTTCAACACATTACGTGCTGCCACCACGGAATGCAGTGTTAAGAGGTCGTGGTCATTTCACGTATTTCTGTGAGATCAGGTTGCCCGCAAAATAGTGCCCATAATTCGAAAACGATTTGGCAATCTGAGCGGCGCAGGAGAGTGACGTCAGTAGCCGCTCTTCTTCAGCTCCGTGCTGACTGTGCTACCCATCTAATACGGTAGGGAGCGGTGTGCACATTTGATATATGGAAGCATCACAGATCATGGTGCTCCCTGAGACTGTGCAAACACTGTTAGAATTAGCTGCCCAGGTGGATTCTAATATTATATCTGAGTCTGATGCCTGTGACTGAGTTGAGCAGGTCATAGAGAGCTTGGCTACATACTCTGCCGTCACAGACCTCCACATCCAGCATGTTCACCTCCAAGCAGTGGTGTAGTCCACGTGATACGCAGGTATACGCCGTATACCCACTAAGAAAGCTCCAAGATTTCCGTATACCCACTTAAAAATGTGCAAAGATCCGTAACAATATAGTTTTGTGACAGAACTTTAACTTAAGTGATTTTGT